GGCACAGCCACACGTGCCCCTTCGCCAGCGCCGTGCTCGAGTTCCGGCGCCGCGTGCGCTCGCTCGTCGGCACGCGCCACACGGACAAGCACGGCCCCATCATCGTGCACTGCAAGTGAGTAACCCCGCGTTTCAACCCTACGATGCATGGACACGAAAACTGAAATGCAGGCCCTTATTTAAGCTCTCGGAAAATGCACACACAAATATATTTATTTTTATTCTTAATAACTTTATTCCTTAATACATTCAATAAAAGTCTACTCTTAATGTTAAACAAAATATTATTTATTAAAATAACTATTAATAGAGACTTGATAACTCTACGTATGACATAATAAATCAAATTTCAGAAACTATCTATACAACTTCTGAGAATTTTTCATTTGCTAGAGAGTAAATTGAAAGTAGAAAGGTAGAAGAAACACTACACGGAGGGAAAGCTGTCAGAAATCCAGCTTTCCAGAGTCTTCTTATTTTTCTTTTTCTTCTTCTTCTTCTTCTTCTTCTTCTTCTTCTTCTTCTTCTTCTTCTTCCTCTACACTTCACGGGTTAGGCTTACGCCTGTTCCGACTCCACTGTATCTTTCCATATTTTCTTGAGTCTTGCCGAATTTCTTTTCCATCTCTGTTTGTAAGCACATAACAGTTTTGTTTCTTCCATTCTTTCTAAGTGCTGAGCAGAGTAAAAAGCGAAGTCAAAAAACATTAGGGCTCAGAGACCCTGCATATGCATCCTGCGATTAAAAAAACTGCTTTAAATTAATTCGCAATTGGCATTTAATTTGACGGTAATTGTGTTTATGAATAAATATTTGATAATTAACTCACACAACAAAAACAGTGATCACAGAATCAACAAAACTCTTATCTGATTGCATAACATTCAAAAATACAGACTACTCTTATCGACGAACACTCGTCTAATTTATTTTTTACTCTTTGTCACTTTGGTCTAAAAGAATCCTTAAATAATCATTTTTTAATAATATTATATTTTGTTATGATGATTGTTTAGTAAAAACAGGTAACAAAATATCGATCTTAAAAATCAAACGTTTCAATAAATCAATGTTAAATACATTAATATTTTTATAAAATCTCAATATTAAATACATTGATATTTTTATAAAATCATCAATGTTTTGCAAACATCTATATTGTCATTGCATCCCTACCTCGCACTCTTGCAAGCAAGCGCGCTCACACACACACACACACACACACACACACACACACACTGACAATCGATCAACGTTCTTTATCACAATACGAAATATTTCGTCTCATCCTGAAGAAGGTTTTGCCTACATGTACGTTACTCAGGTCCTAAAACAAGAAATATGTATTTCTTGATGTAATGGTGGATCAAATGTGAATCAACTAATCAAAATGTATTCATACGCTTTTAAAGCTTAGTGAAAGGTGAAAAATCCAAAGGTCAATATTTTCTTCACTGACGCCATTCCGTGCCTCGGGCGCCGTCAAGCGGAAAGGTCTCACTGAAGTAAAGATGTGCAGCACTCACCCTAATGAAATGGACTTGATCAATGTATTTCTATCGTAAGAAAATTGGAATGAATCTTACATGTTTATAAGTACTTTTCGTCTGGAAATATAATACATTAAAATGTCTTCTTTATTCCTGTAGAATGTGATACGATGGGTATGTGACAGTTTTGCCAATAACTCTAGTTTTCAATAAATTGAGTAAAATTACTAAAAAAATGGAACCAGGCAGTAAAGCATTGGATCTCAGCCCCCTCCCCAGTCTGTCACAGTTTTGTAATCTCTTATTTACCAACCCTGCTCTTTTTTTATCATGAGCTTCCCATTATTCCTCATACTGTGAGTAACGTTTGTTCTAAATTTTATTCGATTTTACATTTTCGATTGTAAAAAATGTTATCACACGTTGCGCAATTCCGAACAACATCTCTCGCGCTTTCATTTCAATAAGTGGAAGAAGGGATCAGCTGAAGAGGTGTTTCTTCAACACACTACTTTGAACCCTCGAGACCTCTTTCCACTCGTGATGCATCACTGGCCAAAAGAGCGTTAGGTTGGTTTGAATTTGATCCACTTGTATGTCACCGATAAAAATGTCAATGTTTTAAAAATACAACATATCCTTTGAGACATGTAGATTTCCCTTTAAAATACAATTTCCTGAAACTCTTAATTATAATTAATAGTATTTTCATTTACACAATGTCTCAGGAAATTTTTACAAACTTCTAAAGAATATAGGGGGTCGAAGATGATCGCTTTTTGTCAATGATCATGTTTTCATATAATGAATATAAAAAAGTAGCACTTGCTCCTGATTGGTAGGTTACCCATTCACAATAGTGTTTGTCAGGTTACCTTCTGACAGATATTTCATGTTCTGCAAAACACCAACATGATCGGTTACCTATCTATAAGGGACAAATGTTACGTTATCTTCGTTATATGAAATTTCGCACCACAGTTCATTGACAAATAATTGTTATAATTGACCCCTTTCATGCACAAGGAGTTTGCAACATTTATCCTGTAGCCCCGAAATATTTGGTCGCAATCTTTCTTTAAGTCGATCTGGGCTCAATTGCTGTCACTGTAATACCTCTGATCGAGAAGTCCTAGGATTCCGCTCGCAGAGGTGGCAGGATTTTCGACACTAGCTATATAGCTGGGTCGAATTCAGTCGCTGTCTGGAGGAGAATTCGAGCGGCCGGCTGCTCTGATCGGCAGTGTTCCGTGGTTTCTCCGATCGACATCAAACGAAAGCAAGGACATTACACTAACAAACTAGCAACGGACAGCGCTTGCTTTTTTTACCCTTGTTTGTCGTATCCTCACTCTTTACATTCACATACACTCACATGCATTACATTACCACACGTGTAGGGAGGCCAGTTGGGACCTTAGAGCTTGTCCTGGTTAGGGTGGTGCCCCGCCGGTGGGAGATACCTGGTTTGGGAAACCCCTCAAGCATACGTGTAGATCGGCGCCCCATCTAGCTGGGGCAAACAGCGAGAAAAAACATGCACTACACTTACGGGAATTTTGTCTCATTCATACATACATACATATATATATATATACACATACACACACACACACACACACACACATTGTCGCGCCCGGGATCACTAATCAAGCTCCTTCCCGTTGCAGCGACGGCGGGGGGCGCTCGGGGGTGTTCGTGGCGGTGGACGCCAACCTGGAGCTGGAGGACGAGGAGCACTGCTTCGACGTGTTCGGCTACTTCAAGAAGCTACGACAATCCCGGAAGGGGCTTATTGAAACAATGGTAAAAACAGTGTGTGCTGGTACTCGTATTTATTGTATCGCTGTTTACCTGCGATTGCCCTCATCGCGTTCATTCTCTGTTCAGGACCAATATAAATTTGTGTATGACACTTTGGAGGAACACGTTGTGTGCGGCAATTCATGGTTTCCTGTCAAAGAGCTTTCCACGCGCCTCAAGCAGAAGTCTATGAAGTGCCCAATGTCAAAGCTCAATGAATATCAGAAAGAATACCAGGTATGAATCTTTACAATACTTACAAAAATGCCCAAATTATATTTGTGCTGTCTTTAAGTTCTTATAAAATACCTCTCTGTCAATTGCACGTGTTTACCTATTGTTATTCTATTAAATTCTTTTACCTTACATTTTGTTCTCTATGGTTTATTTTAATAGCGTAGTAAATGGTAGATATTTTAAAATAATTATTAATGAATAGAACATTATTTACTTAAATTATATATGCATAAATTATGTAGGACATTTTTCGTTCACTATAGTATTATTATTAATTCTTTAATAACAATTAAAGTCATTGCGTTTACTTACAGCAAATTTGCAAACAAACCCCACGCTTCACAATTGGAGATTGCGCAGGAGGTCACAGAGGAGACAATCGGGAAAAGAACCGTGATGTACTCATAGTTCCACGTAAATACCTCTTTTATTTGTTTTTAACTGAAAATAATAATTGCGCAGAAAATACATTTTTGAAAAAGATCATTTACCCATAATTAAGTAGTACTGTAAGAACTGTAAACTTGAAATGATGCTAACTTCTCTTTGACTCTCCCGTTTACACCAAGTTAAAAATTTTCTGTTTTAGCTGACAATTTTCGTCCATACTTGACATCATTTCAAGGCAACAACTTCACTGACTACATTAATGCTGTTTTTGTAGACGTGAGTTACTTTGAAAATGCTTCGTAAATAATATTTGTAAATAATTAAATAATTCATCTGAATAAAGCTTTTTCATAATACAGGGATATACTAAGCCAAGAGAATATATTGTAACAGAGTGGCCTTTGAAAAATACACAAGGAGAATTTTGGTCTTTGGTATATGATTATGATGCTGCAGCTGTTGTAGTATTGTGTGTTCCTCCAGCAAATTCTGTGAGTATAAGCTTCATTAGAATATTAACAGGCTAAATTGTTGATCTTTTATTTAGAAAGTGCTTGAGAATGTCTCACATTTTCAGTAAGTCTGATAATTACACTAAACCCACTTGATAGTGAGTCACAATAATCTATGTTCAAACATTCATTCTTGCAAATATTATATTCTTTCAGTGGAGGTGTGATTGATATTCTATTGTTTCAGTGAAGGTTGAGTAGCCCACACGTTTTAAAATTTTACTTATACAGGGTGTCTGGGGCAGAAATGTCAAAGCTTCAAAAATAAGAATTTTGTTTGAAAAAATGCTTTCTAGGCAATAATTTGCTTTGCAGAAGCATAGAAACACTCCGAAAACATGTAAATTGGTATTATTTACAAAAGAAATTAATATATTTGTCCACAAAGAAAAAATAGCTCAGAAATAAAATAGCACCCAATTTACACAATTCGACAGTTTTTTTTTATTTCTGGGTTAATTTTTTTCTAAACAATATATTCATTTCTTTTGAAACTAATAAATAATTTACATGTTTCTAGAGTGTTTTTATGCATCTTCAATGCAAATTTTTGCGTAGAAAGCATTTTTTCAAGGCTTTTAGGGGCTTAGCCATTCGAAATATCCAAGTAGTTCATTAGACAAAATATGTTTCAAACTGTCTGAAGAGCTTATTTTCAAAGTTATTGATGTTTCCTTCCCAGACCTCAGGATATAAGAATATAATGATATCCAATCTATGAGACAGATAACCAAAACAGTGTGTGGACTTTATAATATAATATTTGAATTCTTTTACAGCCCAATTATCTTCCATTTTGGCCAGAAGGACGACATTCAAAGAAATATGGGCCTGTTTTTACAATTGACCACATTTCTCATAATCATTATACCAACATAAAGACATGGATATTTAGAATAAACAAAAAGGTAATGCAGTTAGGTCTGCATTTGCATGCTTTCATGTATCTATGTACTTTTGACAAATTCATCTGGCAAATGTGAATTTAAATACGTTCATAAATTATAACGGTGCATTATTGCACTCAAATAACTTGCTAAATCTTGCTTTTATTAAAATGATTCATTGCATGAATTGATGTTGAAATATTTTATTAAAATTGTGTTTTATAACTTAAATCCATTGGTATATATCCCTTATTTAAGATTCTATTCCAAATTTTATGAACCGTAATTTTAAAACTTTCATAGATTAATTGAATTTTTTGCCATTCTTACTTCACATACAAAAATAAAATAATTACAGATTTGACTGTAAACTTGGAAATATATTAATGGAAAGTGTTTCAAGTACTAAATGTTTTTTCTAATGCTCACTTATATAAAGCTACTAATTCGCATGACATGTGTCAGCACTTATTTCACTGCACTTATTGATGTTACAAGAGTGAAGATTTGGAGCATTGTGCTTTGCATTGTTATTGTGCTAGCTTCGTTTATTGCGTATGAATTGCAAATGTTCTTTAATAGCCTTGCAAACTGCCTTTTATGTCCTGTGCACCAGTTCTCTGGCTTACTCCCATGTGAACTTCTATTGTGACAGTCCACTTTTGTGTATCATGCAATCTCTGTGGTGTGTTCTTAAATGCATGGTTTGTGTGAATATAGGACTGTAACACGTATCACAGGGGCACTGTTGTCATTCATGGCAATGAGAATAGAAAGGTAGGTATGTCTTAAATACAATCAAAGCTAGCATTTTCTTTAAATTTTTATTCACTTATTCACTTTGAAATCTGCTGCACTAAGATCCACTCATATTACCTAACTCACTTTGTGGCATGCTAAGACGTAATTTCCTTATACCCTTCCTTCCAATGACATGAAGATTCAACCTTTACCAGTGAAATGTATTTTAACTTAAGAAATATTCTGAATATTGATTCCTACTTAATACAATAAAAACGTTTAGTTGAAATCTGTTTCAATAAGTAATGTAAAAAATGAACAAACTACCTTATTGTTTTTTGGAGTATTAATCGTTTTCTGTTTAACTGGCACAGTGATGAATTAAAACATTAATTGAATCACTGAATATATACACTCACTAGTTCATCTAAAAACGATTGAGAGAATTCAGAAGATAACATTTGTGTGATATTGATGACAATTGCATATTTTTTCCACAGATTGTGTCACTGACAGAACTGATGGCAGGTGTGAAGGCTCCTCCAAAGACAGTACAATTGTTCCAACTGACCTGTTGGCCCATGGGTCACAAAGTGCCCACGTCTACCAACTCTCTTGTTGAGTTAATGAATATGGTGGAACGCTGGAGGCAAAGGACTGACTATGGCCCTGTTGTTGTTGTCTCTCCGTAAGTTATGTCTGACACCATAAGCATTTGCTCTGATCTGGCAAGAAAATTATTTTTAATGTTCTTCATTGTCTTTGTATGTATTATGTCTTTAGAAATACTACAATTTATTTACTGTCTCTGAACTGGAAAAATAATTATTCATCAAACACACAAAAATAAAGAAAGAGAAAAAGATGATCTAAATCAAATAAAATGAATGTACAAAAAAATTCATTTGTTGTTGTAACATATATTCTTATTAAATTTTAATTTAATCTTTATTAAAAAGTATTTTAGTTATTTTCTTCTGATAGTAACTCTTAATATAAGTATTATTTTTTTTCAGAGTGTTATGTTTCTTGAGCAGATAAATTCATCTTTGAATTCCACATTTAATTTTACAAAATTGCACATTGATACCTTGCAAGGGGCTAATAACCCAAACTAGAAAGATTTTAAAAATATATTTTACTTAATTTTGAAATTTAAAATATTTCTCTGAAAATGTTACCTGTTCCCAACAGAGATGGGCGTAGCCGCTGTGGAGTGTATTGTGCAGCCAATGCCTGCATTGAGCAGGTGATACAACATGGGGAAGTTGACATCTTTCAGGCCGTCAAAACAGTTCGGCGGCACAGGCCCCAGTTGGTGGAGAACATGGTGAGTGTATATGACAAGACTTTTTTTTTAAATTTATGTTGTTGTGTATTATGTATGTGATTTTATGTAAGTGGTTGATCTTTGTATTATCAATTGGGTCAATACATTTTCTCAAAATTGGTCTCGAAAGCAAAAGCGTGTATTTTTGACTTCTGTAATGGTGCACTGAATCCAGTGGTTGAACTAGAAATAAATGTAGGTGATTCGAAGATAATTTTCCGAAGAAGAAAAAACACTTTTGATTTGTTTTTGCTTTCCCCCTTGTTGCATTGCAAATAAATATAAATATGGAATGTACAAAGAAATATGTTTTTGGAATATTTAAACACACTAATTTTAACATCAACAACCATAATAATAATAATAATAATAATAATAATAATAATAATAATAATAATAATAATAATAATAATAATAACAACAATAACAATAACAACTACAAAGTATTTGATAAACAAAGTTATGCAACCCGCAATGTCCGAAATCTAATACATAAAAACAATGTTTGTTCGTTCGTACTTAATACACAGCCTACCGTTCATCCTATTGCGATAAAACATTCAACTTCCTGCTTGCACTTGTGGGAGGAATATAGGAATAGTAGGAAGGGAATGTGCAGATGCCTGAGCGCATACACGCGCGTTGATGGTGGTTTTTATACTGACTCAAGCGCTCCTGAACAGGGCGCTCTACGCAACCCGCCGCATCCTGAAGTACCAGTATTAAGAGGGTCTTCATTGTATATTTTGCCCCTGCGATTGTGAAATTTCGCCCGGGAGAGAGAGACTGACAGATACAGACAGGGACGTAGAGAGAGAAGCAGAGACTGACGAAGAAGACCGTTAGCGTTGTTCACAGACAAACAGACGCTTTGCCGTCAATCGATTTTTCAGTATCAAGGACCCGCAAAACATGGCTTCTGGCTACACCACGTGTTAAAGAACTTTTTTTCTTAAAAAGCTCCTTCTTAAGCGTGAGAAAGTAAAAATGTACATTTTTTTTAAAGACAAAACAAAGTATGTCAATATTGTTCTTTTACAATATTAATTATTTGTTTGCAATATTCGAAATTACAGAGTGTGCTGAAAATAGGACCATCACAAATTTCTTTCCCGCTCTACGTTACGTACTAGGAAAAAAATTAAAGAAAAAATTGGTGTCTTTTTTAGAATTTTTTAAAATTAAAATTTATTTATCGTCGCATCGACATCAAGGTCATTAGCGACTTATCATATAAATACATTTTACACTTACAATATGAAATTTAGAACCACATTAATTAATATTATTACATATTGAATAACTGTTTAAAAATTACCTATTATACATGCACAATTACAAAAAAACGCTCATATTTTCGAAAAATTGAATATGGTCTTATTTCAAAATGTTTTTGATGAACCGATGTCATTAAGAAAACAATTTCTATCTTCAATATTGTACTTGTAGGAAGACGCCGAAATAATTTGGAACTCTTGCTATTTTCAAAAGTTCATGGAGTGCAATAAAAATACGACTTACCCCATTTCTTTATGCTTCTTTTCCCTATTTGGAACAAATATTTGGAGCCATTTATAAAAGAGAATTGAAAATATTATTGCGGCTTCATGTAAAGTACCCCTCCTCCCTCCCCCCCAAAAGAAATCAAAATATCCTTTTCACATTCATGGTGCCGCTACGTCAATCAGATCAGTCGGGAATATCAGGTCTGGTGAAAATTTTTCTTACGATTTAGCCGCTAGCGTTGTTCACAGACAGTCCGAATGGCTAAGTAGTAGTTCCACAAGGAGCTGTTGCGCTGGCTAAAGACGTACGCGCAAGCGACCAGTTGACTGGATTTTGTGACTGAATGATTAGCGTTTCCGGGCGCGTCAACGGCTAAAGTCATAGTCCCTTAAGTGTAGTTCGTGTTCTTGTTGCGGGAGGTGGTGGTGATCTTCTCCTCTGGATGACGAGATCAGGCAACGATACTATATACAGTCTTGCGGGGTTTTCCCCAACCAGGTATTTCCCACTAGCGCCCCAGCCGTGACAAGCTCTAAACTCCCGAATGGTCAGAGCAGCCGGCCGCTGGAATTCTCCCCCAGACAGCGACTGGCTGAATTCGACTCAGCCTTCTGAGCTAAAGTCGAAAATCCTGCCTCTATCGGGACTCGAACCGCACGACTTCGAGACGAGTGAAGACGAGTCGAAGGGCGGACGGGGTGCTGCCTACAGCTCCCGTGGGATCTTACAGGTTTGCGACCAGTTGTTTGGGATTCGTTTAGGAGACTGCAATGTTTCGGCTGCAATGTTGCATGAGCTTCGTAGATCTCGGACAAACTGTGACTTCCGAAAATGTTGTGCGGGCAATAACTGAGCGAGGTGAATGCCCTTTCGAGTTCTTTCGATAAGACAACTGCTGTGGTGCCTCTCGCGGCAACGAAGAAAGCTTTATATAGCCCATAGATTCCTCTGGACCTGGAACATTCGTGTTGCTTGGTGATTGAGTGTTGCGTCTGTTCCTTTGTATGTGGGACACTGCTGCGACTGTCTAGATGATATATCGGAGCAGTGTAGAGCGGCTTTCTTTAACGCTACTGGATCTATTTCTTCGCTGCCGTACCGGAATATAATACCAATGATTATATGAGCTGTTTTAATTCAATTCAATTATGCCTTATTTTACGTAGCGAGACTCATGCCATTATCATCTTCCATCTCACCACTTAAATTTCGCAATTTTCCATCTAGCGGAGAAATGACATATCACTCTGGCGACGAAACAGATGTTTATCTCAGAGATGTGGAGGAATACAAAATATATATTGTTGTAAGCTTCTTTTTGGCTGGACGATCTTTTACAGTCAGATCTGTTACATGAGAGCCAGTTTTACCTTCCCTCCGAAGAAAGGCGAATGAAGGATGTTTTCTCTCTTAAAAATACACGGCTTCGATTAGGTTTGAAAACGCAAACTTGATGGGTATAACAGATCGATACGCCAACCGCTACATCACCGAAACCGCCATTTTACGTCGTATTCGCACAGTTAGATAATGCTGCAAAATATTGATGTCGATGTTACGTCTATACAAAATATTGCTGACGCCGAAAGTTACTTTTTTCAAAACGTCTATCTGTCTGTCCGTCTATGGACATCACTGCAGCCAAAACCGATCACAGAATTTCCTCCCAAATATATCTCTTCCTACTAAAGGCTCTGCGCATTTGAAACTTAGGGAGGTATTCTATGCGAAGCCGCTCTGACATTTTCGAAATTTTTTCAAAAAACTTCAACTTTTTTTCTGTAATAATTTCAATGGCAAAAACACCAAACCATTTTTTAAAAAGGAAATTGTATTAATGTTCGTGTTTCACGATGTGTCGCAGACGGAGTACAAATACTGCTACGACCTGGTGCTCCACTACGTCCTGCACTACCTCAACAAGGACATGAAGGAAAAGAAGTGAGAGAGCGAGCAGGAGACACAGTGGTTCATCGCCTTCGGGCGCGGGTCGGCGCTGCCGCAGACGCCCGACGACTCGCCCTCGTCCAGCGAGGCGCGCCGGCGGCGGCGGCGGGCGCCGGCAGGCGGCGGGCGGCGGCGCGGGGCGGCGCGGGCGGCGCAAACGTTGCTCGTGCGAACATCACCGTCGCCCGCAGCGAGCGCCCGCGCAGCAAGCGGGGCCACGCCCCCGCCGCGCCGCGCGCCCCGGCCCGCCCCGGCCCGCGCGCCGCCGCGCCCGGCCCCGACCCTGGCCGCGCTTCGTGGCAGGTGGTGCCTGAGCTTACAGCGCGGCGTGCGGGCGCCCGCCCCGGCCCGGTCCCGGGGCGCGGGCCCGGCCCCCGGCGCGAACCTTTCTCCCTTGGCCGCCCCGCCCCCCCGCGCCCGCTCCCGGACCGGCGGCGCCGCCCGCGCGGGCGCCGCGCCGCCGCCGCCACCGCCGCCTGCGCGCCTCTAGCACTTCCCCGCGGGCGACGCTGGCGACGCGGTGCGGCGGCGTTGGCGCGCGGCGCGCGGCGCGACGGCGACGCCAAGGCGGCGCGCGCGCTTGCGCCCGGCACAGCAGCCCCGCCGCCGAGTGGCGCGCCCGACGCCCGCCCCCGGCCCCGGCCCCGGCCCCGGACATTCCCTCCATCCACAGCGCGGCACTCGGCCTCGCCTCCGACGCCAGCAGAAAGCGAAACGGCCATTTACACAACCGCAGTGCCAAACATTCCCTTGAGTTGCTTGCAGGGAGCCACCCGCCAGTTAATGTTCCCATTGCCCGTTCTATAAGTTACACTAATATGAGTAAAAATATAGTTTACAGCTCCGGATCCAGTAGTAACGAGTTATTTTTGGAAAAGAAAGACGTACGCTGCAAGCGTTTTGCAGATAAGGCAAGAAAAGAATCGCCTGTCGATGAAACGGTGGATACTCACATCGGTGTCAATAGGAGACTTTCTAACATTACTGTCACAGAAAGTACTAAGCATCGACCTCTAAAATTTGATTCCTTGCTGGAAAGTAATTTGGACCGTGTGGAGAGTGGTGACAAATTAGATCATGAGGAGGCAACCTCTGCTAATGCTTTAGATCTAATGCATGCATCGGCCCAAGAAAACACCTTTCTTGCCAACAGTAATGCAAACACAACTCCTTCTTTATCAATTTTCCCTTTCCCAACTGCACACACAAGCTGCTGTAAAACCCAACAAGAATTAAAAAAGATATCTGTTTGTAAATCTGTGATTTCTTCTGTTCACAAGAAAGATAAATATTCAACTCTATCTGGTGATAATACCACTGTGTCTAAAGTTATGGAACAAAATTCAATGAAAAACAAAGATTTTCAACAAAGAGATGTAGAAATGGTAAGTGCATGTGACAAAACAATCCCAAGAAAATCAAGCAACAGTTTTTATCATTATGACAATGAAGAAGTAGTGTATCATAAGGATGAAGATACTACGTCATTTGAGAGATCTCAGTCATATTTTAGTAATCAGTTAAACAGTATATCATTTGACGAAGATGCTTTGATTCATGAATTCGAATTACAGTCTCTAGAAGATCGAATGTCATTTAGTGAATGCCTAGGTAGTGAATATGAGTACACAAGTCACAGTAGATCAAAACAAATGGTCAGCAGTCTGACTAGTAGTGATAGAAATACAATTGAGCTAATTGAACATCTGAAGTTTCCTGATCTGGAGCCCAGTGCACCTCATATTAGATACTCTAAAACTTCACCGAAATCATCTTCATTTGAGGAAGTTCTTTGCAAAGAAAATATTTTGTTTTCAGATAGCTCAGATTTTCCAGAGACACCGAGCACTATAAAAGCTGATTTTTCTGTGGCGGAGAATTTAAAATATGAATGTGATTGGCCTCCAGCTGACCCTTGTCCAAGGGGAAAAAATGTTGTCTTGCTCAAACTCAAAGAAAATAAGGATCAATTTAAAAGAATCTGCCATGCCTACTCTGATCCTGCCTTAACAATCTATGACTCTAATGAAAGTGGACCACTCAGAAAGGTGAAATCAGCTGAGAAAGACTACAAGTCAAAGTTCCCTGACTCACAGGATTTAATCCTTCCTCTGATTTCTCATGTGGAGATTCAACCTTTGCATAGTATGGATCATAGTGGTAGTGAAAAAACACCAAGTAGTGAAAATAATGTTTTGACCAATGGAATGATGTATGTTGAACTGGAAACGAGTAGCGGAGGCATTTTGCACCAGGAAACAGATATAAGCAGTAGCCAACTGACATATACAGAAGCAGATGTAAGTAGCAAGGCTCTGAAAGTCAGTGACCAAGATTTTAGTAGCAGTAGTTTGCCTTATACTGAGGCAGATGTTAGTAGTATTGAGTTCCCTTGTACTGAGCAAGATATAGAAAGCAGTGTGTTGTACACTGATGCTGACACCAGTAGTAATGGATTACAATACAATGAGCCAGACGACACCAGTAGTGGTTGGCCCCAAATTGATGTAGATTCAAACAGCACTAGTAAATTACGTAATGAAGTTGACACAAGTAGCTATGGTTTATCTTCCAATGAGTTTGATGCAAGCAGCAGTGTTTTTGACTCAAGTAGTAGTGGCTTACCCTACATTGAATGTGAATCCACAAACAGACTCAGTTACAAAACACTGCAGAGTTGCAGCAGTGGGCACAATGTGGATTCACTTAGTGCTGAATCATCTGCCATTGTTGGAGAGGAAATTTCAGCCCCTGAGCCACTCCCTCAATCTCCTCTTAGCACAAATGAAACTCCCTGCAAGGACCAGCTCAAGTGCTTTCCATTTTGAACTCAAATGGAGGATATAGTTTGTCCTTAGTATCTTTGGATGCTCTTATATAAAATCCTTCATTTTCTAAATGTTAAACATGTATAATTTTATGTTGACATTTTTAAATATGATTTCTTATTTAAGAATTTTATTGCAATGTTTTTAGAAAATTTACTTTCTCTTTACTACCCCTTCCCATCCTTTTATTTATTAATTATTATATTGTTTCATTCTTAATCATTTCTTCACCTTTTTGTTCTCTGCCTTTATATTATTTACCCAAGAAATAAATTTTACTCATACTATTTATTAGCTGGTTGAAATTCATTATTTATTTTCAACAAAATAATCTAGACAATAGTGAATTATGATTATTGATCTTCAATTTGTAAAACCTCTTAATATACCCGAAAGTGCTCAGTGCTCTCCTGTTCCATACTTCCACTGGTGTCTCACAAGAAATAGTTTGGAGCTTTGATTTTGAGGATTTGAGTGTTGGAGACTGTACCGGATGTCTGAAATATTTTGTAATGAAGGAAGGAGTGGTGTGTGTGTTGTCAGTGCCTTTCCTATAACTCTGCACATGGCCCCAGGTCAAGCTTCATACTCAACTAGACATACGTCCACTTGTCTCTTTACTACATTATAAGGACCAGTTGCAATCAGTGCACACCTACACTACAAGTTTACATTTCAATCGTTATTGTGAACAATTTCTATTATTTTTTTTCATGATAGTCTCAAACTCCTTAATATATAGTATGGCTGACCAATTTGGATGTTAACAAGGTTGTATAATAGGATATTTTAATAATGACTAGAAAAGTTGATACTTTGTATATTTTTATGTAAATGGAATATGTTTTGAAATACTATATTGTGAAAGCGAGGAAAATCCTCGCACAGTAAGCAGCTATTTACTGTAGATTTTTAACACTAAATGATTTGACTATTTTTAATATCTTGCAAGTTGTAATTATACAAAGTACTTGTTCTGTATATTTGAATCTTATCCAGTTATCTTTGTAGGGGAAGTGTGTTAGAAATGTATATTATTATTATAATTTATTTCTGGACATTTCTCTGATTTCCTTTGCATTGCCTGTGGGTGCTCAAGGACTGCTCCCTTTTTGTTGAGAAATTTGTCACATACTCTCAAGAAATTTAAGAAGAAATCATAGTTACTTGAATATTTAAATGCTTTGTAATGAGCAATGTGTTTTTGCATGAATTATTATATGTAATGAATTATTATATTCCTTGTTTCTATTTATCTAGTTTTGTAATATTCAATTTACATTTTAATTGATGTTTGATGGTGGTAATATTATTGATACCTTCATTGGTGATGTTTTTTGTGCAATAAATTGGAAAACAATTTTCTTATGCAATAGATTTCATGTATGTTTATATACTTTAAAAAATAATTTTCATATTAATGTGATAGATGTGCATCATTGTATACTATGTTTCATGTTCTTATATGCATATTTATCAATTTTGCATGTAGATCAAGATGTCAAGTTTTTAAATTGTGAAACAAATGCATTTTAAATATCAGTGACATTCATTTCACAGTGCAATTTTGCGAAGTACAATGTGTTCTCTGATCAATTTATAATCCCTTGTGGGTTTCTTTCCAGGGTCTTTTTATGTATTAATAATAATCATTACCTTTTTTCAGAAAGAACAATTTCAAACATTTTCCCATTTGTCAATAAAAATGGAAGATCTTTCAACTCATGTGCCACCGTCAGAAAAGATACATAATAAGTAAAATTGTACAAAAAAATGTACATTTAAATGTGAAGCAATATGGAAGTGATTTTTACAGTCAACAGTGAAAGAATATTTTCATTGCACTGGAGTGTGAAAAAGTCTTTCTAGAATATGCTTCTTCTATTATATTACTTTTCACTCCCTACGTAAGATGCACAACATTTAGTACTTCTATCATCTTTACCTCCTATTTTCTTATGTTGTTAACAATACACATTACTATGAATCATGCTTGCAACAAATCACTGGTCCAGTAGACTGTGATATACTGGAGTCTGTAATATAGACTTCTTTGTCATATTCTAGGATGTTTCAGAGCATTTACAATTAAATATTCTGCCTGACTCCTCTGACCCATTCAGTCAATGGTTTCCAAATTTCATATATAAATGAAAACAATTGTTTAATTTAATTTATTGTGTACATGCTGTAAAATAAATAATAAGTAAATTGAAAAACATTCTCAAAAACAATAAGTTTTTTGTTTCAAAACTGATTCTAATTCCCAATAATTTAAATTATCTTTTCTTCTTTTGAAGTTTTTCACAATGGAAACCTTTGCACTGAACATGTACTTAAATTAAGTTTTTTCTTATTACTGATTGTAGAGAAAGAAATGAAAAATGGGACAGGCATCTTAGATTACATAGTCTATATTTTTAGGGAGCTTGGTCTTGAGAGAGGTAATTTACATGATAAAAGTTATTCAAACATGTGCTCAAAAACTAGGGATGCTAGTTTGAACCATCACACTGGGAAAGTTGATCATACTGTATTATCTGTATAATTGTTTTAATTCTTATAAAAATCATTATGACTTCTATCATGCAGAAATAAACAAATGCATTTTTTAAAAGATAACCTTGTCATTTTTAGGAGTATCAAACAAGAGATTATCCTTCCTTCTACATTTTATTTAAAACTTTTTCATTCGCATTCTTGTTTTAAAATTAAACAACAGTTCATGAAAGTATTCATTTTTAGTTGTAGAACTATTAATTTTTCCTGAACGAGAGAACAACCTTCATTATTCAGCTGAGCCTAACATGTAACCAGAATTACCAACATTTACAAATCAAGAAAGCATAAAAAAATCATAATGACATTTTGTGTTAAATTTTAAAAGAGATTTATTGTAGAAGAAAACTTATAAAACCTGATTCTTCCAACCTGATCAACAAAATACCATTGTAAAAAGATTTCAAATGCTGCACAAGAGAGTAACATAGAATAAAACCACAAACAACATTTACAATTTTTGGTTCTTTTATTTATCAAATGCATTAAAATACAACCTGATTTATAATTTAATTGTCGCATTCCAAAATTACGGGTTTCATATAGCGTGAGTGTTTGATACCAAAAGAAAAATTCGGAGGTTCTCTGCATTGATTAAATGTTGGATAGTAGGCTGCAGGACCAGGCCTTGGTGTCCTATCACAACCAAACATTAATCTTGCTCCCATAGTATATTGTGGATATCTGCGCTTGTAGATTTCTGTCATCACTGGGGTGTACTCAGATGGGCTGGGAGTTGGAAAGGCTGTAACTCCCCTCTCTCTATTTCCTCTGCAGATAAACAAAACAATTAATTCCAGTTCATTTATGTAAAAAATAAATATAGCTTTGTTTCTTACTTACAGCGAGTATGCTGGTAGAGAAGGTTTAAGTGGTATATTTGGTCCCAAGTATTTTGGCAATTCGTATTGAGCAGGACTTGGATTATCATGTACTTTTCGTGGATTTGTTCTACTTGACATACTGTATGCAGGTGGTCGAATTTCTTTCATGCGAGGACAAAGCTCAGGAGAATGTGCTCCAGGACCTGGTATCTGCAAGCGACCTTAAAAAAATTCAATCCCATAAGCCATAAGAATTGGTGGAGGTCAATGGCAAATCCAGGAGAGGGGGCTCCCCAAATCAACTATTTGTTTTTAGTTTATCCAATTGATTCAACACAATTACCATACTTAGATCTTATCTCAGCAAAATAGTAGTCTTATTATAAAAGTACTCCTACATTTTTAATGTTGTGCTATGGCTCATTCAAAATAAATTTCTTCTATCACTAGCGCTATTTGCTAAGAAATGCTATTTCATTAGCTTTTTCACTTTTCATTCATATCAGAGCATAAATTTGGTTTCGTTGAATTTTGAAACTTGGAGATAATGTAATGGATTAATCTACAGATATTCAATTTTTAATTTAATTATTAAACAATTTTTTTTGTGTGTATTACTTGAAAAACTTGCTTGAACCTTCTTTTATCATTTCATAAGGTAAGAATATACTAGTAAGCACTGAATTTCCAAAATTGCAGGACGAAAAAAAATTACTTACTCATGATAAATGTTTTGGGACGCATGGTGTAAGCTGGAGTACCATCTTTCCCGTAGCGAGTATAGTTCTTCTCAATAGCATATTGTGGACCAGGTGTAACAATTTTGTACAAAGGATCCATTCTCTTCGCCAGAGAATAGGCCGGAGGACGACGCTTTCTGATGTCATGGTTTTCATATCCCGTGAGGGGAGGAAGTAAATAGGCACCCGGGCCCGGCCCTGGAAATAAGGATATGTAAATGTATAAACTCAAAGCAATATTGGCTGAAGTCTTAGTAACAAATCGCGTGTTAAACTGTTCACTTTCCATGTGTGTATAATGTAGCCAACGCTCGTGACGTACTACTTTAGCTTACCGAAAAATGTCAATATTCCTACGTTTCTTTACTATAATTCGAGTTGACAAAATAGATACATCCATGAACACAAAAATGTGACCGAGAATAGGTTGATATTTACCCATCTTTAACATTTCCAATCCAATGTAAATTAATTACACTAATATTAATAAATAATAGTATATAATTACCGCGATTCATTGCTTGCGTCATTTTTCACTTAAAATTTTTCAAATAATTTCCCAACTCTTTTAGAGGTTTCCCTCCCCTGTCCAAAATAAATTAGTTTAGACTGTTGCTAAGGTCGCTTCCATAACAATAGTTTGAATTCATTTGTTGCAGAGTCGATTATTATTCTTTTAGCATTCATGGTCACGCACTCACAAAGCATTGCCTCATAATATTCTTTTCATAAATAGCAATTTTATTAATTATTCAATTTGATTAATGATCATGTATTCGAAAAGAGATAAACATGAGATATAACCTGGTTATTTTATTTTAAAATACGTTCGAACGCAAATAAAGGTATGGTATTTTGGACGAAATTAAGATGATTGTCTTTTGTGAAGGACAAGGGGTAATTCTATATTTCAAGTATATTCAAGAAAACGACAACACTCATACATTAGCCCCCCTGTGCCATTTACATCTCGTTTGTAAATAGCAGAACAAAAGTTATTTTCCTACATAACGTATAAAAATGCCATATACCATTATTTACAAACGAACGCCTCAATAACTATTCATAACCATCTTCTCGAAAACTACAATTGTATTCATTAGAATTAGATTTCCCAACAAGTTTCTGTGAGAAAGAGACTTATTAAAGAAATTTAGAATCTAAATATTTTAGATTCATTGTACTACTAGATGTTTTGTAATTGGCACACTATTTAAAATTCTACCAAATAGCTTAAAACAGAGTAATGTATTATAATTTCTTATTTTGTGCATTCTAGCAAAGGTCGTAAAACGCAATCACTCGAAATAATTTTACTGAAGGATAAAGTGGATGGGTGCCAAATTGCAACACGCTCGTCTGCTTTTCCGCTCGTACGATTTCTGCGTCCTCCTGTCGCTTCACGGCGCGGCTAGAGATTTAGGGACGGGGAAGCTCCAAGCTAACAGTGCTTTCACCCTGCCAGTTTCGCCTTTGTGCGCCGGTCGTTTCTACCTTGCCTGTTTTCGTGCTGGTCCGTTAATGATGTATACCTCTTTAGTCTATGGTCGGGGCCAAGAGAAATAAAAATTAACAATTACAATCGTGTATTGTTATCTGACGAGTCAGATATAATATAAATACATCTTGGGAGCAGCGAGTGTTATTTATAATACGTTAATATAATAATAATAACTTATAGTTATAATAAGTTACATTTATTTTTATTGTCCAGAAGCAAAACAAGTGGCCATCTCAGCATTTGCTCAAAGGACCAGGGAAACTAGACAAATAAAAAAAACTGATCAAGGTGGGGTCATTGGCCTAGTGATTATACAATACTTGTTACAGATATATTAAGATATTTCATAGAAGATAATTATTTTTAGCAGCAATTAGTTGAACATTTGACTTACTTTAATTTAATTTAAAATTTTTAACATTTAAGATTTATAACATTTCATTTTTAGGGATATCATTTTCTTGATATAGTGATTTTACTGCTACTACTACTTATAATTAGATAAATAATAATAATAAATAATAATAATAATAATAATAATAATAATAATAATAATAATAATAATATAATAAATAATAAATAATAATAATTAATCATATACTAACAGTACATTATATACAATTATGGTAACAGCTACATATGGTTTAAAGTGTTAGTATGTTCCTTGATAGTATCTTGAAATGGGGAGGAGGCAGGTTATGGGCAGATTTTTCCCTATTTCTACACCTAGTCCTATTGCAGCACCTGAAATCACATTGCACATGTTAGTCATTGAGGTATTTCTGAATGCTATAGAAAGTTTTTCCCCAAGGAAGTGTTTAAGTTTTTTTTTAAGTTGTACAAGCCTGTCGTGTTTCTCAGATGTATTGGTAATTTGTTGAAGAATTGAATACCTGAAGAGAATGTACTCTTTTGGTATAATGTGCTTGTACACATTGGTTGATGAAGGTTACAAGCTTGCCTTGTGTTATAGGGGTGTAAGCTTGAGTTGAATTTGTAAAGTGTGTCATTGTTTACTAGATTTTTCTTTACAAACATAATAACTAAATAAATAAAAATACAAGGCAGTGGAAGTATGTTAAGTTTTTTGAAATGAGGTCTGCAGGAGGTTCTTTTTGTATTTGTTATTGTTCGAATAATTCTCTTCTGTATTTTGAATGTTTGTTTAGCCTCAGGTGCTTGGCCGCATATTATTATCCCGTATTTGAGAATAGAGTGCACATTTGCAAAGTTCACTGTTCGTGCCGTATCAATGGGGCTGTCTTCTAGGTGAGAGTTCCACTTGAGGTTGGATTGTATGGTGATACCAAGAAATTTTGTTTTCTGTGCTTGTCTGATGTTGTTTCCTTCTAATGTTAAATTTGGTGAGTGTGGAGTGGGAGTGGAATTGTGTTGAGTGGGAGTTGTGGAAGGGTATTGTGATTGTTTTGTCTCGATTTAGGATTAGTTTGTTATGGTGGATCCATTGAACAAGCTTGTCGATGGCTAAATTGGCTTTGTCTTGCAAAGCATTGTTTGTTCTTTCTTTGAATATTATATTAATGTCATCAGCAAAAAATCCCTTGTACTCCCTCGTATTCCATATGATTCTAATTTGGACAATAGAATTGTGTGATCTATCATGTCAAAGGCTTTTGACAGGTCGAGAAAGAGACTAACATGATTTTCTTTTTGCTCTAATGCCATGAGAATTTCATTTACAAAGGTGAATAGAGCAGTTTCAGTTGAACGATTTTCCCTGAATCCATGTTGATAATGTTAGAGTGTATCAAGTAGTTTTAAATATTTCATAGAACAGTTTTTCTAATATTTTGAAAAACCTGACATGAGTGAGATTGGCCTATAATTCAATCTTGTTTGTTACCTTTTTTATGTATAGGTTTAATTACAGCAGTTTTAAATATGTTTGGGAAGGAGCCATGATTTAGTGATTGGTTGTATAAATATGTTAATGGTTTGATGATATATGGAGCAATATTTTTTATTAAGAAGTCTGGAATGTTGTCTATCCCAGTGGATTGTTTATTTTGCATTTTGTTTATGATTTGAAGTATTTCCTTTTCTGATGTTTCTGTGATGTACATTCTAGAAAAAGAGTTTTTTAAGAAAGGTGATGGGTGTAGGGGTGTTGTGTTTGGATTTCTTGTTTTTAGTAGTTAACCAGCAATTTCAGAGAAGTGTTTATTGAATATACTGTCTGTTTCATTAGGGTTTGTTATTGTCCTGTGTTCATGGACTAGTTCAATATTATGTGCTTTGTTATTTGCTGGTAATGATTTACAATATTCCAAAATGCTTTTGTTTTATTTTTGGATTTTTTTACATACTCATCATTTGACATATGTTTCGCCATTATTATAACTTTTTTGAGTGTGGCTGAATATCGCTTATAGTAATTCACTATTTGAGGATTGCATGAGTGTTCTTTTGTGAGTTTATAAAGCTCTCTTTTTCTTTCACACGAGATTTAAGTCCCCTTTGTTATCCATGCTTTGCTATTTTGTGTGTTGTTTATTTTTTGATGCTGTAGTGGATGTGAGATGTTAAAATAGTGTTTGATTGTATTGAAGAAAGTGTCAAACTTGAGGTTGATAGCAGATATAAAAAAGAACTCTCAGTGAATAGTCGATACATTATTTAATAAAAATATAAGTATATTTGCACATCGCATTAAAGAACTGAATAATTTTAAAAAGAATTGAAGTATAATTTTTAAATAAATAGTCCAAAAAACATTCTAAAAGGTTCTAATTGATGTCACATTGGCCCCACCAATTCTACGTCACCGCTTTCAGGACGAAGTGACGAACCTTTTACTCATTCTCAAGAACCTTAATAATTGTAGTAAATTTGCAGAATTCATCAAAATTATTTCAATGAAATCCATAATAAAAACGTTCCTATCCCCCAAAAATTTCTGGATTATCTTTAAGTTTTTGTAATATGACATATTACAAAATTATGAACACTCGCAAATATAAAAAAATTACCTCTTACAAATAATACATAAATATGTATTCAAAAATGCAATTACTTCCCATTCCATTGTCATATTTTTTTTAAAACGCAAGCCCTAAGCTACAACCCCGCCCTTTTGGTGCTAAATAAACTTGTCCTTACTCATTTTCCCGTTTTAATATAACAGTTTAACACTGTCAATATTTTCTCTTAATCCACAATTTATTAATATATTTACATAACACCGTGTCATCATATTCAAATTATATTAAAATTGCATTACTATTTGAATCTTCATAATTCAAATTACCTGCACTTATTTCATCATTTAGGAAGTTATTCCAACTATAATGCTACTCTCGTACAAAGACGTCTAACCTATACAAGTGATGGTGCAGAACTATTGACACAGCAGACGCTCCTGCCCTGCTTATTTGTATTTACCGCGCAAGGTCAATTACCAACAACATGACGGAAGAATAGTGAGCAAAATAAAAAAAATTTTCAATGGAATATACCGAGAGTGAACATAATATTCTGTGATAATGATGGCTTTGGACACTGTAGGGTGGCTCATAATATTGAAAACTTAAATAGTCAATATTCTCTTGGTTTTAATGTACAACGAAAAAGTAAATTGAAAAAAAAAGCGAAAATGTTAATATTTAAGTTTACAAGCATGCTGCGTTTTGAATGATCCCGCATTCAAGATAGAATATTTTGTGCCTAATTTCGCTTGTTTCGCTCGCTAGAATTCTCTGCGTGGACTTGACTTGTCGGTTGTCGGTGAGCGGGAGGTCCTGCGTCGCTCAACACACAATTCCGTTCCATGCTGCGGTCCGGCCGTGCTCTCGGTTCGCTTTCATAAACAGGCAAAAATTGTCTAACTTAACTCATTGAAATTGTTGTATATTACATGCGGTTCCCGTAGGTACGACATGTACTTCCTTGACGTCAATATTTACTATCAACCTGGATTAGCTACTCCTTCACAACACAAAAGCTCGAATTAGTATAGACATTTTGAACAGTAACCAAGATTATTTGTATACTAATTTCAACAGAAAGTAACAAATCCCTATGAGTATAAGAAGTTAATACGATCACTATCAAAGCTTTTTCAAAAC